CAGCCTGAAACTACTTTATGGATAGTTCCATGGGGACATCATCATCCTTTGTTTGTCTCTTCCACTGATACTGTGATTCTTACTTGTCCTCTTTCATTAATCCATTCTCAGAAATCACCTTGCTTTGTTATAGATGAAACCACCATCCAGGAGGTAGTAATCATTGTGCTGTAAGGCCGAACTTAAAAATGTACAAATGCTTAAATACTATTCCACTTTACTATTTCTGTTGTGTGATAATACTCTTTGTACTAGAATAGGTAAAGTGGATTTCCCCTCTATGATTAATCCCATTTGCCAGCAGTATACATGGTAAGGTACCCCACTCAAAAATCCAGTCCAAGTACAGTTTTTCCTTCTTGGCACAGATAAGTAAACTTTACCTTGTTTGTAGCAGTTGTGCTTTTCCTTGGGCATGCCTACATGTGCATTTACACTGGCTTAAATTTACTGTGCAGTAAGTTACTAGGCAGTCAGCGGGAATAGGCTGGCATCTACGCGTGCAGGCATTTAAGTGCTTTAATGCTGTGTGTGGACTGACTTGGGACTAAAGTTAGATTAAAGTTAGTCTAACTGTATTAAACTAAACTAGAACTAGACTAAAGTTAGTTCCAAGTCAGTCTATTACTGTGCAATAATTAATTGGTTGTAAATTTGATACCTGCATGATGCAGGTATCAAATTTATGCTCAAGTCGGTGTAAGTCACCGTATTTACTGCACAGTACAGGTGTGCATGTGTAAATGTGCACCTGTACTGTGCAGGAATTTCAGTTACTCTGTAATAAATGTGCATGTGTAGATGCACCCCTTATGTTTTTTCTACTATGCTATTCAAGATACTGTATAGAAGTTCTTGATAGAACATATCAAGTACTGTATAGGAGTACTGTATAGAACAGTAATACATAGCTTTGAGGCTACCTGCTTAATTCTAGATTTTATTTCTACTTAGGAGCTTGGAGAGAGTGCCAAGGCTGTCAGGTGTCAGCTCCTTGAGTCAGCTTTCCTGAGGCACCTGCCCTTTTTCTCTGTGTTTCTGGAAATGCCTGCTTAGTGAGACACAACTTAGGCCAGGGCAATAAAAAGCAGCCATTTTTCTTTTGAGGATTACTACAGAGTGACACGTACTTTAAGCCTGCTAAAGTTTCTCTGAGCATTTGCTTTCAGTTTTTCTAAAGCTTTTTAATGTCTTCTATGTTAGAGCCATATAAGAACCTGGTTGCTGTTGGCTGATGACTTCTTCCTTTTGTAGATTTTAGAGCTATTAAATTGGGAAGGCTTGATGGCATGTGGTATGCTCCAAATAAGGTATGCTCCAGCTAAAGTGAGTGGCTCTGGAGCACTGCACTATATTATGAGAACAAACTCTCTCTAGTGGATCAAGTCCTGTCAATGAAAACTAAGAAATATGCCCACCTATAAACTTCTAAGCCATAAACCCAGGTACTGTCAGTTTGGGATGCACAGGGAGGGGTAAAAGTCATTTGTATGGGAAAAGTTCAAGGCTGCTGCCTTCAATAGAGTTAATCAATCAGGAAAAGACATAGCAATAGTCTAGTTCAGGTGTGGCCAACCTGGGGCACAAGTGCCACAAGTGGCAGCCTCTGTGTGTGGCATGGGATAGATCAGGGAGGAGACAGGCAGCACCGTGTCAAATAGGGGAAGGAGCAGAGAGCAGATCAGCATATTGGGAAGGGAAGAGGATCAGAGTGGTACTTGGGGAGTGTGTGGAGCTAATTTGTGGCACACCTGCCAAAAAGGTTGCCCCTGCTCAGTGCTCTAGTGTAGGCAACCCAACAAAAGGAAGTGCTGAGGCTGGGCCCCTTTCAAGGGCACACTTTGCGTTAGTGTTCTCCTTGTTAAGTAGGATAGAGTTGTGATGTCAATTAAATATAATTATGATAATTACGTATGTGATTATTTCTGACAGTGTCTGCAAGTGGTTCGGGTATCTCCAAGAACAGAGAGAAACTATAACCACTGCCTCACAGTGTTAGCAAAAGAATTATTAGCTGTGATGGAAAAAGAAGGGGGCAAGACAGTTGAAGTGGAGAGAGAGGAGGAGCATCAATCAGATTATACACTTACTCGGTAACGGCCAATATAGAACATGGTGGTATTGTCATAGCTAGAGTAAATTAATCTTCTACATAGATTTATATCTGGAGTGGCTGAGATCTACAGATTGGGCCTCTCTGCTTGTTTCTCTTGTTGGTGTCCTCACTGCTGCATTGCTTAATGTTCACTGCTACTGGGCTAATTTAAATCCAAACTGGAAACAATAGTAAGCTGAAAGTGCTGGTTTGTAGTGGGGATTGTTTGTGAAAGCTCACATCCTGGCATTTATGAGCAGTGTGAAGCACACATCCCCAGTGGAGTCCCATCCTCTGAATTTCAGTGGCAAGCCGCCCCCCCTGCTGCCAACTGCTGGCCCCTCTACAAGCCCCACAGGCCAGATCACAGAGCTCTGTGTGCTGGATCTGGCTCATGGGCCCTACATTTGACACCTCTCCCTGAAAAGGAGGAAGTGGGCTAGAAGCTCAAGCTCATTTTGTCATTTCAAGATGTATCAACACAGTGCAAAACAGCAAGCGATTTTAGGAGGCACAACTTATTTTCATGTATACAACAGCCAAACAACACGGCTAAATTACTGCCAGTGTCAGTACTAGCACCTATGAAGCATGGGTTGCATGTCTCACCGTGGTGCTGCCTTTTTCTATATAGCTAGATGATATCTTTTACAGGTTTACTTTATGGGTGTCTGCAATTTCACAGGCAGCATCACTTCCTCATGGCTTACTCTTTTATTCTGGATGCAGTGTGAAGGACTCCTACATTCTAGCCAGAATCACTTGTTTCTCAACCTTTTTAGATTCAAGAAGTCCTCCATAACTTTTTTGAACTTGGTGGCCCCCTAACTGAGAACCACTCTTGTGCTGCCTCAGCCTACCTCAATGATTCTCCACTGGGGTTTTGCTGCTGCTACCACAGCCAGGTGGAACTGCCCCATGTCTCTTGGGCACAGTCAGATAAGCCTAAAGCAGGCAGGAGCACATGTTCTTCCTGCAGTCCTTCCCAGTCCGGTGCCTGAAATGCTCTTCTTGGCAACAGCATTGCATGGGACAGTTCTACCTGCTTTGTGAATCTGGTTCCAGGATGAGCATGAAAGGTACAATTAGAAAGGGCGGTGGTAGGATCATGTGCTCCTGAGTGCTGTAACACCCCTGAAAGGATCTTGTGGTACCACAGTTGAGCACCACGCATCCTGTCACCATATTGTCTGAAGGTAAAAATTACAAAAGCAACTTAGGCACTTAGGGCTGGCTCCAGAAAATCCCAACAGAACTTAGTTTGCATGGCATTGCTGAACCTAACTTTGAGGCATGTTGCCAAGCTCCAGGCTGGCTGTTTACAACACTTGAAAAAATAGTATTAGAGCTACAAAAGTCAGCTTGCTGAGCCATGTGCCATGCCTTGCCCTGCTCTTGGCATAGGCACCAGGGATCATCATTCTAGATCAGTGCACAAAGCTGGTGCCCTGCTCATCCCACCCTACTTCCACTAGTGGCCCATGAAGATTTAATATTCCTTGCAAACAGGAACAGCTTTATTTGAGAAAACCTCACCCCAGACAACCCTACAGCTTGGGATGAGGGGTTTCAAATGGCAGATGGAAGATGCAAGTTCGGATCCCCTTTGTGTCTAACGTGAGCTGAACTTTGCTCTTGCACATCCTGGATCAGTGCTCTAATCATTGACATATTAAAGTAGAGGCAGGCATGGCCACTAACTCCCTACTTCTCTGCTCAAATGCTGTGAATTGCTTGATGATCAGGCAGGTACTATCTGAGACTATCTGGATCAAACCCTGTAGGCATGGGTAGATCCAGGATTTACTAAAGGGGGCTGTAGCACACTGCCCCTCAGAGCAAGGGGACCATGGGGGTGAGACATGGCTGGAGCTGTCCGCTTGGTATGGGACCGCAGGACACCAGGCAGGGAGCAGGTGTAAAACAGGCTGACCCACCCCCCTCTGACACTGCTGCCATTGTTTCCAGCTGTTCTGGGGGGGGGGGGGGGGGCGCAGGGAGCAGAGCTGCTTCTGCCCCTCTCCAGCAAGGGGCAATAGGGAGCAGCTGCGTTAGGAGCTGGGCTCAGCCAGGTATAGTGATGGTGGCAAAGAGTTTCCTCCTTTCAGCCCCTGCTCCCTGCCCCCTCCCTCCCTCTCTCCTAGGCAGGGGACCATGCACAGAAAAAACAAAGCAAAACAGCATTGTAACTCATTCTTTATATCCATGTTTGCAGTCTCAGGGGTCATGCTGGATCCCCAGCTGCCATCATGCAATCAGTGGCAGTATCCTGGAGTCTTTCTTAGGAGCATTTCTTGGTAGCAACCTAACACTGATGCTTCATGATTTGCACTTGTTCATTGCTTTCCACTTGGAATTTAAAGTATTGGGTTTAACCTCTAAAGTCCTAAATGGATTTAGACCTCCACAGTTAGAAGACCAACTTTCTTCCTGTAAGATACTTCTACAACTTCAGGTTATGGAAGTGCTCAAATTGGTGGTAGGACATTCTCCCAGAAGGGTTTTCAGTTTTCCTCTTTGGTCAAAAATACCTTCAAAAATACTTCAGAGCTCACTATGTATCTGCGTGTGTCAGCTACTGAGGTATTTTTTGGAGGACAGTAAGATCTGTAGGGACTTGCACTTGGTAATCTGCAGGGTATTTGTCCGTGGTGGAAATTCCCAGCAGGTGTAACTTGCATCTTTTTATTATTTACTTAACTAAAGATGGTATCATTTTTCCCTGTCTGGTTCAAAATCCACCCTGAGCTCAAAAATGGGCCCTAGCATTGCAGTCACTGTCCTGTTACCAGAAGACAGCCATTTCACAGAGGGGTCTGGGCTCTTGACATCCCTCAGAGCACTATATTTGATTTGCAGTCTGATGTATTCTTCTGCTGTTGTTCTTTTTTTCCTTGTTCTCCAGGTGTATATACCTTTCTTTCCAGCACCTTGAAATCTCTGGAAGAAAAGGACTACATTCATCGTGTTCTGGACAAAATTACAGATACTCTGATTCACTTAATGGCCAAGTCAGGTCTTTCTCTGCAGCAGCAACACAGGCGACTGGCTCAGCTTCTCCTCATCCTTTCACACATCAGGCACATGAGGTAAGAGTGCTAATACACATTTTGCTTTCCTGCACTGTACTAGTCAGCAGTAGCTAGTGTGCAAGCAAGGTTTACACTTATGTTGAACATTATGTTACTCTATGAATGGGCTCTCCTCCATGGAGCTCTCCTCAGTGGGAGTACTTGTAGAGCAGGGTGTGCTTATCATGGTCTGGCCTGTGATATGGATTGGTGCCTAAACCTTCTGTGCATAAAGGCAGGTAATAGCAATTTGTAAGAGGTGCAAAGTGGTGTTGTGTGAGCAGGCTTTATCAAGATAAGGGTTAAAAATATTTACTGGCCTCTCTTATAGTACTCTCCATCAGTAGAGTGCAGAGTACTTTTGCTAAGATGGTCAGTGACATCATTCCCATTTTGTAGAGGAGGAAACTGAGGCACAGTGTTATAAAATGGCATGCAGACTAGTAGCACACCAAGGACTTAGAGACCAGGGATGGAATCCTATTTCCTTTTGCATGTCTAAATGGGAGTGTTTGAGTCATGCTCAAGTGCACTCCTTGTGCACGTGTAGAGTATATGTGAACAGGTTTATAAGACCAAAGTGTAGAGTGGGGCCCCAAAATGGCCAGAGAGACTACTAGAAAACTGTCACTTAGATGTGAAAAGGGAAGTTGAATTTTGCCCCAGGTCTCCTGAGTTCCAGTCCTGTACTCTACCTCAACTGTACATATAGAAGTTTTAATAATAAACAAGGTGAAATCTGTGAAGAATTCCAGTTGCTTTTTGTCTAAGCAACAAATATATAAATCATTATCAGTTAAATTACTCGGTGCTTGTGAAGTTGCACTCATCTACCTACATGCTGTAGTGTTACAAAGCTGACAATTCTAAGAAGATACTATTTATTATTAAAGTTGCTCAGGACATTGTTTGGTGAAAGGGGTTGAGTTTCTTTAATTCCAAAAGAATGGCACTTAAGATAGTGGTATGTGCCATGTTATGACAGGATTGAAAAAAACTTTGATTTTCCTCCAAAACAGCTTTAGACCTTCAGAGAAAAGTTAGTGTGTGTGTGTATTGATTCCTCTCTTTTTCATTTTTTCTGAAGAATTTGTAAATTTGCATGCATTATTTTGTTATTACTCTTTCCCTGAAAATCAGTGATTAGGTAGTCAGGGCTCTGGATATGAGCTTCCAATTAATAAGCCAACAAAGTTTACTGCTGTTATTTCCTAAGAAAACGAGGGGAGAAACTGTGATAATGGAGTTATCATTACATAGTAAGATGGTGAATTTTTAATGGCAACCACCAAACATTGTGCAGTATAATTTCATTATGTGTTTTCTCTCCATTAAATCACAGCAATAAAGGGATGGAGCACCTGTACAACATGAAGTGCAAAAATGTAGTACCTCTTTATGATCTGTTGCTGGAGATGCTAGATGCTCACCGACTGCATGCCCCAGCAGCTAGAAATGCTGCCCAAGTAGAAGAGGAGACTCGGCTGACAACTGCATCAGCTTCATCGCATTCCTTGCAGTCGTTTTACATAAACAACAGGGAAGATGAGAATTTGCAAAACACAATATGAGAGTCCATATGTCAAAAAACCTGCCATGTTCTGAGGATCCCAACAGCATACTACCTACTTCATGCATCACTTTAGCTAAATTGCCATGTGTAAACACTCCAGTAGGCATTAATCACCAGTGATTTCCAATCCAAGTGTTCATTGATCACAAGCTAAAATTCATTGTTATGGATAGCCAGCATGGATTGCAAAGATAACTTAACTCTGAAATTTGGAATTGCCCCTATTAACCCTGTGCAGACACTGAGATGAGGATTTCTGTAGCCTTTGCTGATATCAACCCAACATTTCAGGCTTTCTTGACCCTTTGCTTGGAAACCATTTGGGCAAAAGCACCAGCTGGGTTTGACTAGCAGAGGTGTTTACATTAAAAGGTCTATTGGCTCCACAGTGAGCTTATAGGGAAACCTCAACGCTAGAGACTGCCTTGTTAAACAGCTCAGGTCTTGGTAGACTCCAGCCTCTCCTATTCTTAAAGTAACAAAGAGAATTTTTCTGGATGTAGAATTATTTTTTGGATTTATTTTATTGGCTGACAAGCAGATGTTTCCCCCTTCTGCATGACATTGACTGTCCAGCCAGGTATATTTATCCTCCCCTATGGCCATACTGCACTGAGTGCACTTGATCTTCTCTGATCTCATAAGCTAAATAATTCTGAGCCTCAGTAGTACTTAGTTGAAAAACCACCTGGGAAACACAGATGCTGTAGTCAACTGCCCTTGTGTCAGACTAGATTAACATAATGGTCACTTCAAGCCTAAAATTCTGCATCTGAAAAAGCATGGTTAGACTCCTCCGTACACAGTGTTTTGATGACAGTTAGCTAAGTGAAAATAAAATGATGTACCAGCATGCTAGTGTACCAGAACTGTCCTCCCTCCCATCACTCCCACCAATAAGCCCGCTGTGCCATGGAAAAGCTATGCTAAAATAGAGTCCAGGTCTGTAGGTTACATACAAGCTGAGAAGTGTACCCTTCCCTTCTCCTCAAGCCTTACTGGGGTATTCTTAGATGACAATTACAGCTAAACTTTAGCTCACTTGTGCCACGTGAAAGGTGCACAGAAACTGAATCATATTTGGGGCGCTATGGTAACATACATATTTCATGAGGGAAAATAGTCCCTTTCCTTGTCTACAACTGCCTTTTAGTATAAATAAGGGATAGTCTGAATCTAATCAGTTCTCCAAAAAAATGCACATTATTCTTACTGACACTACTAGGAATTGCAACTACTTGTGAAGGGTGAGTAATATAAAGGAAGGTATACCTTCAGGCTACTGACACTGAGTGCCATTACAATTCAGATTTCCATCCGTTTTGTAGTTCTATTTATTGCAGTCTATTTCATTCTTAAGGGCAAGGGACGCAAATACTGCAACACAGAAGAGTGGCCACAATGGTCCACACTGGAACATGAGCAGAAGTCCGGGGACAGCGAGAAACAACTCAGAGAAGCATGGAGATCTCAAGGCATGGTACATCTTTGTGCTGCAAGCCAAAGTCTTAATTCTATCCTCAGACAAGTGCAATGTTGACTCTGATGGGAATTGCACAGATATATCTGAGCACAAAGTTTAGTTGCAAGTTACCTCTACCTACATTAACTTTATTTCTAAAAATTACTAAGAAGTTGTCCGAGTGAAAGCTGTGCTCTAAATTTGTGAATAATTTAATCTAATCTTAACATAACAATCCTGTTGCTACAGAATTAGCTTAATTTCCAGTGGCCTTAGCTTTTTTTAAAATTCTGAACATGGTCATTTGTCTTTCAGTATGTGCAGTGAAAGCAGTGGCAATTTTCTTTATATCAGTACTGATCTGATGTATTAGTGCACCTCTACTTTATTCACATCACTGCGTAGCCCCGTTGCATGCCTCTTCACATAAGATTGACTTTTTCTCACAGAAAACAAATTTCCTTTATAAATAAGGTCATCACATATAAGCGAATTCACACAAAACAAATTTGCATAAAGAGAGACCCGAGTGTAGAGCATTATATCCCATGGTCAGCAACTGAATGTCCCTATGACATATGTGTGAATTTTGGAGTGGAAACAAATTAGGAAGTACATCAAAACATGGCCCCGAATATTAAAAATAAGTTAAAAAGTAGGTACACAACAGTATTTGGGATTTTTTTTTTTAACCTTGACCCTTACAATGAGGTAACTTATTTAGTTCTAAATGTATCTTGTAACCAAAAAGTTGTTGGAATCCAAAGGAAAAAAATGTTGAATATACCAAATACCACATACATTAGCTTGGGGCAGTTTTCAGTGCTCTGTATCGTTAATTTGTTCATAAAATTTTTCTTTAAAAAAGCACCTTAAATAATGTAATAAAAATATAATTATACCTATATATATATATATATATATATATATATATATATATATATATATGCATAGTTCACATATCAGACAATTGAATGTACCTGTTCTGTTAACCCAGTTAATGGAGTCTATGATACACAAAACAAAAGTATTTTCTTTTATTGAGAGTTTTGAGGTACTTTATCATGTATGCAATCATTTGTGCCTGAGGCTTACTATTGTTAATTTACATGAAAAAATTTCATATATACTTCATATGTGCAGTAGACAAACCAGCACTACCTGAAATGCCTAATGCTGGATATAAAGAAAAATATCATGTATTAAAGAACTTGGTTGAGAAGGAAAAATATTCAGGGCAGCTAATTATGCTTTTACCAAAACATTAATACTGATTCTTTGGATTGTAGCTAATGAGACAATAATTATTTTGTAATGTTTATACTTGGATTTATAAAAAATAAAAAACAACAAAAACCAAATACCCTAGACACATAGGCAATGTACAACCAGTATAAGACAAATAGTAACAGATCAGATAAAATTGCTTGGTGTATCAGAACAGTTCTAGTCTAATACTGTTTATTATAAAAAGTTTGGGGAAGAGGTGAAGGTGGTAATGTGAACAGTTTCATCTGCTAATGTCTGGGTTTCCTGCTCCTCTGTAGTTGACTGAGCCATGGCTCCATTTGGCAGCCTGTGTCCGGTAAAACTCCCATGGAAGACAGACTAGGCAGTATAGGAAGACAGTGCTAGACTAAAATAACTTCATGAGCAGCTTCCTTGATTTTTTTTGTGATGCTTTTACTGTTCTGTGCCAATGACATTTCCTGGTTTTTTTTTAATATCGTCAAGTGTTTGGTAGATTAAAAAACAGTCACTAAGCAAGCAAGCACTGGATGTCATTTCCATTGATAATGCATGGATTGCCAACAAGTTGGTGCTTTAATATGAAAGGGGTATGTCTCATACTGGAGTCACTATCCATTTCAGTTTCTAGTGACTGGATTCCAGAGGAACTGTGCCAAAATGCTAAAACTGAAAGGAAACACATCTGAATGAAAAAGGTTTCCCTTTTACACTAAAAATCCTGCTCCACTGAAGTCAATTTGAGCCTTCCCACAGACTTCAATGACACCAGAAGAAGGCCATGTTCATGTACATATAGTACCTTGTTTGTAAAATTAAGATGCAACCCAACTTAAAACCAACATGATTTAGTGGTAAGATGTCAGCTGAATTAGTTTGAAGTTCATGTACTACTTGAGATCATTGTAAATGCTATCAACAAATGTATTAGTTTTACAAACAAAATAGCCTCATATTTGAAGAAGTGTCATGTTAAGACTGGATCTTAATGCATTGTATTTTTAACTACCACCCAAAAATACACCCCATTTCAAATGGACTTGAATGATTTCAGTTGTAAGGTACCAAAATTCACATCTCTAGCATGAATAATGTGTGCTTTCTATTTACATTCTTTCTTTTAATTCAAATGTAGATATTCTTATGTCCAAATAGTTGTATTTTCAGTGATTGTTGCCTTCAGGAGGGCACTTCAATTTTTGCACTGTCTGTAAAAGAAAAAAAAAAATTCTAATCTTTTTTTTTGCATTTAAAAAAATGTGCCTGATCTTTAAGAAATGTATATGCTGCCATGTTGCAAACCCATGTTCAGTTAGTGTGCTCTGTACTCCTGTGTGCCTCAAATTAGTAGTCTGTTTCTTTAGAAAGTGCCAATTGAAAAATGAAGAGATAGATTGCTAGTCACAAAGACTTGCATTAACAAGCCACTTTTATACCACCTTATTGTACATATCATAAAAACAATTAAGCTTTTTTGTGCACTACTTACTCTTTCACTGTAGAGCCCTTTCTTTAGTATGAGGCTCAAGTGCCATAATGTATTAGTTGGATTATACTGCTCTTTCACTGATGCATATATTGTTATTGGTGTCTTTGTTTTGTTGAGGTTTTGCTTTGTTATATGAGAAACACATGTAAACCTCTTTTGCACCTTTACAAGAATGTTACAAACAAAATCTGGTGATACCTGACTTGTGCGAGATTTTTCCCAAACTATCTGATGTCAAATAAAAAAATAAAGCAGAGTAAGGTATGTTTGTTGTATGTTGGATGGCTTCAACAACGGCGGTAGTAAAGCAGCGTAAATTATATGGTTGAGTGGAGCCCTCAACTGGGTAATAAAACATAACATTTATTCAAGTTTCCTTATATCATGTGTCTAGTAAAGGTTGGGGCCTGCAACTGAATCTTTGAATGGCGTTCCCGAAGGGTAAACTGAGCTGCAGTTTAAAAAAATGCTTTTCTGCTTGTTGCCTCTTGGGTAAGGCCATAGAGTATAGTGGCCAAAGCACAAAATTCAGAACAGAGGCATCAAAGATAATCTTGGTTGGGGAGTCACAAAACACAAATAGAATAAATGTTTATCTGCATTGCAAGGAGATAAAAGTTCTATTGAATTCCTTTATTGCACTTCTTATTTATACTTGTCCTGGATATGTGTCAGGGCTTCTGCAAAGGCATGGATGTTCAGCCCATGTATTGCAGTCTTATGATCCAGTTTGGGATACTACCTTTGTTGCATTGCTGCAGAGAGAGGACAAAGCTCTCTCGGTATGGTCATGGGGATTTATGTGGACTTTTACAAATGCTGTAAATATGCAAATTAACTCCTGCTGGAACAGTTGTTGACTAGCCCTGCTAGGTTTGAATGACTAGCCCTGGGCAGCCACAGCTTTGATCAGCTGTTTTGGTCCCCTCCTTCATATGTATAGGCTAGACAAAGAGCCTGTGGTTTGAAATCCGTTAGCTTACCATTTAAAATCTCATTTAACATTGAGTGCAAAGACAGCATTTAACCAGGGGTTGACTACAACCAGCATCATATTTTTAAAGATCATTGGGCATGTCTACACATTCATTAATGCGCTTTAAGTAATGCACATTAAATCTAGTACCTCCACTGTGAGGACTAGAAAAATGCACATTAGCCTATTTTAATGTGCATTACCTAAGATCATGCTTTCTGTGATGCTTTAATGCACATTAAAATAGGCTAATGTACATTAAAATGCATGTGTAGATGCATCCACTGTTCCTGTTTCCACTTGGTGCTAAATAGTGATTTAACTGACGTTCTTTTTCTGTCTAAACAAGCTCAGATTCTGCTAAATCAGGATGAGGATGCTAGGTATTGAAACAAAATATTCTCCTTTTTTTTTCAGGCATATCTATATTGTAGTCTTCAGTGTAGCACAGAGATGCATGAAACAATATTAAATGACATAGGTAGAGTATTGGAATCAGTTTAACTATAGCATCACAAAACTCTGCGTGAGTTCCTTTATCTGGCAAAAACGTCAGATAGAGGAAATCAGTCTGTGTGGAGCTCCTTGCTGCCCAAGTCAGCTTATGTGACACTAGTCCTACAGTGTCAACATAACCAGGGACTTCTTTACTAGGAAAAGCATAGGTGTTCTTACCACGTGAGTTAAATACACTCTAATGTGGACAAGGAATGTTGTTGTTCTTATGTGTAGACAGGTTGGAAAAAAATGGGAGAGTTTTGAGTTTACCTTCAATTGTGAACATAGCCAAAAATTACAAACTGCCTTGTCTTCATTAGAATTTTTACTTAGTGTTGGTTACCAGTTGTTAACTAACAGAAGGTTAAAAAAACCCCCTCCTTTTCACCTAGTGAAGAAAAGGTCTCAGAGCTGAGCTCTGGAAAAGCAGGGAGTGGTAGGGAGGCATAAAAGCATATAGGAGTTACGCCTACCCTTTTGAAGCAATCCAGTATAGCGTCAAAATTATTGTTGATTTCTGAGACATTTAGGCCAGGTATATAGACTAGTTTCTGATCGCTTATACCGGTAAAGTGAGATTTGTCCCCCCACATCAAAGGGCAAAAGTGTGTTCTGTTCACTACTAATCACTGCTTACAGAAAACTATGTAACAGATAGATTCTGCCTCAAGCTTTTTGAATGTCTATACCTAGCCTTGGAGCTCAGCAAAAATATTATATCATATTCTCTGCTTTGATTTTTCCCACCTTTGTGGTGTGAGACATGCTGCTTCAGGAAAATACTAGTGGTTAACAGGGGCTTTATAGCTGTATGTACTACAGGAGGCTGTATTCTTCCCCTTTCTGACCTCCCTCCAAACCTCCCTCTCCCACTGCAAAATGCTTAATTTTGGTTCCTAAGCAATGTTTCAATGCATGTAGACCTTCATAATACCTGACATCACCACTGTCCTAAGAGTGTCTTTGGCAAACCAACACTGATCAAGTAATGAGATGCATTTTTACTTTTCTCAGTGAAAGTCTGCTGTAGCTTTCCAAACATGATTGCTTAAAACACATACTTTTATTGCAACACCAACACAAATGAGAAAAATCATCTGGTATTGAGCCCCACACTATGACTGGAAGTGGTGGATACCACTCTT